GCCCAAGGAACATTAAATTACTGGTATTTCCATTTTATTTACTATGGTGTATTTCTCTCGGGTTTGTGCGACTTTTAATGGACGACGGAACAACGGAATAAACTGGACATAAGAAACACACTTCGGGTGTCATTGTCTCCTATTACCCCCAGATGGAACCGTCTTGTTGCAAAGAAACAAGCTCAGGGTTTTCATTGACTTAACATTCTAATGAGTTAAAATGTTAAATCACATTATATTCATTTTTTGGTGTAACTATATTTTATTTTGAAGGCATGTTTAAATACAATTAAATTAAAATTATTAAATTAAATCAATCTAAAATATAAACAATCAAAGTCCCCCCCCTCAGTGGGCCGCGGTAAAATATCAAACGTTGACCGGTCCGCGGCGATAAAAAGGTTGGGAACCGCTGGATTACATGACAAACTCAATATTAAAAAAAAATTTTAACTTAAATTATTTCTTTTATCAATACTTATCATAAGGTATAATATAACCTATTCAAAACTATCTCTTTTATTTAAAGTTTAAACTTTAGATATATAAAACAAATAAAAATTTAATATTCAAACTTTAAAACCCTTAAATTGTAATACAAAAACATGAGAATTTCACCATTTACGGGGCATAGCCTATTTCTTGCCGGCTCATAAATGTTACCTCCAGTGCTGAAAATTCTTTCACCTTCAATAGACAATGCTGGGGCACTTAGATATTTCATAGCTATTTTGCTCAAATTAGGAAAAAATTCTTTTGAACTTCACCACCACAAAAATGGGTCACTATGTCTTTGTATAAGAGGTAAATGTAAATATTTTTCTAATTCTTGATCAAAACGTTTGTTTTGTTTTTTTCTTCCTTTTTAAAAACATGCTCTTAGCTTCTGGTAAACAAAAGAATGAATAATTCATCAAATAAATTAGAAAAATTATAGATTATTCTCCATCTTGATCATCTCCAGAAGTAGAAGCTTCAGAATTTAAATCTTCTTGAGATTTTGAATTATCAACATCATCTAAGCCAGGGATCGCCAAAGTGGTCTATATCGACCCCCAGGGGTCGATATAACATTATTGGGGGGTCGATTAGGGGGTCGATGCGGCTAAGGGGTCGATTGGGGGTAAATGGAAAAATTGAAACTAAAAATCAGAAATTTAACTATACATATTATTGTTTCAATGAATTTTATAGTACAGCTACCTGTCAACATGTAAAATGGCTACGGATCAAGTCGCACAGGACGGACGAAATTGCCGAGTCCGTGCTCCGGTTCTTACTTACATAGCACGTCATGCATTCGTAGCATTCATAAGCTTGTATTCTCAGTACGCTGACTAGCAACTCTATAGTCGTTTTTAGACGCTGTTCATTTAATTTTAGTATTCCACGTAAATTCTGTAAAGCGAATAAAAGTAACTACTACAAGTTTCTAACCAAGTTTCGGTTGCTATTGCTTCACTAGTGACCCAACCACTGCTCACTAGCTGCCCCTTAATGCCCGCTTAATTTACAAAATTACGCTCTTAAAAAACCATTTTTTAAAATTTTTAATTTTAAATATTCATGTTGGAGAGAAAGCAAATCCGAAAAAAAAAAAAAAATAGAAAATTAGACCGGTCGACGTTTGCGGGACTTCTACAAGTAAGTTTCGAGGAAGGTCGGGGTTCCTGGAATAAAGCAATTAGGACAAAAGATTTTTCATTACTACTATATCTCAAGGGGGTAGACCGACTTAANCAAATCTTCCAATTTGCTTACAGCTACAGCAGAATGATTAAAATGTCTGACAATATTTCTGTTAACTCTGATTATAGTTTTCACATTTTGTTGAGAAAATATGCATTTGTTTAGTGTCAGCTGCAGTGTATATGTAAAGCATGATAATGCCTCTAAGTTGCAATTCCTGATTCCAGCTACCATATTTGCTCCAGAATCTCTCAGTACTAAGAATATCTTATGACTTTTGTCAACTTAAACATTGTTCTTGAACACTATATCTGTTCACCGATTTGTGTATCTGTATGGAAACCTTCAAAGGGTAAAATTTGCAAAACAGCTCTTTCTTGCTAAAAATCAACCTTCAACCAGTGGGGCTGTTACATTTAAAAAAGGAAAATTATTTGTAGTTGCTGTTCAAATATCAGCGGTTAATGAAATATACAGTAAGACCCCGCTTAATGCTGATTCGATATAATGGGGACTGCTTGAAGCCTATAAAAAACTAAAAATGTAGTCTGATTCAAATTATCGCAGCATTTCATTGATTCATATATAATACGATTATTTCCAAACACGAACCAATCAGCAAAAGATGGCAATTCATCATAGCAGCGCTATGATGAATTGCAAGAATTCATACCTTCAGCCAAGTTATGGCTGAAGGTATGAATTCTTGGATACCTTCAGCCGTAACTTATTCCACAGGATATTGATGAGTTACTGCAGGTTTCTGGTGAGAGCCTTACCAACAATGACCTTCAAGAACTGGCAGAACAAAGAATTCATGTAGAAATGAAAAATAGAGATTCTGAAAACGAAGAACCCAAAGAATTTCTCTACAGATTTCCTTAGTAAAAATTTGGTAATGATAACCAAAATGATCCAGATTTTGAAAGGAGTGAAAAACAAAACAAGTTGTTTTGGATGCGATCTCTTGCTATCGACATTTGCTTAATAAAAGAAAAAAAGCAACAGAACAACATGATTTTATGGCAAAAAACAAGAATTTCAGAAAAGCCAGGACATTTTCATCACAAAAACTGAACTTTACATTTCTGTGTGCATATGTTTGTCTTATTTAATATATATTATTATTAGTGATGCAATGAATAGTATATTTGGCCTCAGGCCGAATACCTAATATTTGGCCAAACTATTTGGCTTGATTAATGTACTTACAAAAATTGGTGCGCGAACCGCATTATGGCAAGGATCGTGCACCCTGCTCCCTATTGGCCCGCTGTCATTACGCTTCGCCAATCACGTTAATTCTTGACAGTTGTAGCAGACAGACGTGAGCATCATGGCAGTATGTGATAAGTGATGATATCAAATGTGGATAACAATGAAATGACCTACACATGTAAATAATGGAAAAAGAACAGGGAAGGATTGCGAAGTGAACATGTGAAAATAAATATGAAATTGACTTGATAACATAATCAAACAAGTCAAGGCAGCTTAGCTGTCTGGAACTTCAGTTACGATAAATAATTTTATACAATGAAACAAAAAAGTTAATTTAATTTTCAAGTTTATAATAAGGGATGATTTCATAAAAATGCTTTACAGATCATTAATTATTATTTTTTTCACATTTTATGACCTAAGTTTCAATCTAATGTGCCCACGCAGTAAAAATTTTCATACAAATTTTTTTACCCTTTTTCACCCCTTTAGGGTTGAATTTCATAAAATCTTTTCTTAGCATGCCTAAACTTTACAAAAGGAACACACCCTCAAATTTTTAAGATTTTAGCACAAGTAGTTTTGGCTCTGCGTTAATTATCCTATCAGGACCGTTCTATTTTCTAAATTATTAAATTTAATAATTATAATTAAATTAAATAAGAGATGGTGTCTAATGCCTCCCTCTAGTGACAAATTTAGTAATTAATTTAAAATAATTGCAATATAATAACCCAATTATGATCCAGTACTTGTTAGCTTATTACATGTGTACATTGGGTTTATAGATGTTGGTTTGATGATGATATGTATTATTGTTGAAAGTGTTTGTAATGATATAATACATATTTGTTTTTAAACTTAAGAGATAAAATAAAGACAATATTAACACAAAAAAAAAATAAAATAAATCAATGAGTAAAAAATTGTAGTGTATGCCTTATTAATTAGGTTACATTTTAAAGAGATTCAAATTAAAGGCAAAGCATATGTGTGTTTGGTAGTTTTGGAAAAAATTGCAATGACAGATGTCTGTGTTTTTAACAAAGGATTTAGTTTTTAAGATATTTATTCAATAAGTGTTTTTTTTATCTGAATTTAAATTATAATTACTAGTTAACCTTCAGATTATTATCTGCCAGTTTGATACTGGTTATACTATATGATTTATCTCATTATGTTTACCATATGTGGACATTTTAGTGAAAATTTTCAAATTATTAAATTTATTATTGTAATCAATTATTATTATTTTTTTGTTTAGTTTAATTAGGTGTATTGTTTTTTATTATATATGAATGTTACTTTTATAAATATAAAAATAATTTTTCTTTTCTTTCTGTATTTAGGTTATTATCAACCAGCAGGACCTTTAATTCAGCCTATTCATGATCCTTGTCTCATCCATAAACCTGTACCATACCATCCCCAGCATCATCATTTACATCCTCCTCAAAATTCTCATGCATCCTATCCTGATCAGTGCCTCTCACATCATTCATTGTCTTCATCAGGTCCTCCTCCACCCCATCAAAATTCTCATTGTTCAATTGAGGTTCATCCTCCTCCACCTCCACCACCTCAACCACCCCATTATCCTCAGAACAATATAGGAAATAATTCTTCATATCAAATATCTCATCATCAAGTTAATCAAACATCTAGTCAACCGCCTTCATCAGTTCATCATCAACCATATTCCAGTCATGGTCTTCCTATGATAAATTATTGTCCAAATCATACACAGAATCAATCGCATCAGAGCCATTTATATTCTCAGCATGGAAGTCGGTTCTGCCCGGAATATTCGGCATCTAATTACAGAATTGCTTCATCACTTAAATCATCTCAAAAAGAAAGAAATGCAACTCATTCTGTTTCGACTATATCTCCATTACCGACTATGGTACCAAAATCTGAACCTGTAACGCCACCCGAAACCAAAATCAATACACAAGATGAAAAACTTTCTAATATGTGTAACAGTAATCCTCGACAACAGATTTCATCAAGCACGTCTAAAAAGAAATTAGAAAAGCGACTTCAGGAAACAAGAACAGAAGAATCCAGTGTTAGTAATAATACTTCTATTTTCATTCCCTCTGTTCATATTTCAAAATCAGTATCTTCAAATAATGATATTAAAAGTAATATTGTATTAATAAATGAAAAATCTTCAAAAAAGCCTTTACAAAAACCTGACCCAACTCCATGTGAAAAAGTAAGTGATAACGAAAATAAACAATGCAGCAATAGTTTTAATAATAAATCCGATAAATCCAGCGAGCACCAAATTATTAATTCTGTTCAGAGAAGAGCAAGATTGTTGAAACTTCGACATCATTTGAAGCAGTCGCTCCCAGCTTATCCAATTAATATAAATGTAGACCAGGAAAAATATGAATCAGTTGTTACTTCCAAACCTGTTTCAAATGATATTTTTTGTAAATTAAAATCAACACAGCAATTAAGTTCAAATACTATTTCAGGAAAAGAAAATTCGGCTGTTATAACAATGAATGAATCAACAGAAAATGAGAGTGAAGAATCAAGTAAAAATGAAAATCCTTTACCTAAATCAAAAAATGGAGAAGTGATTACATCAAAAGTTCCACAGAAGAAACTGTTTGTATCAATTCCCCGTCTTGTGTTTCCAAAGAAATCTGACAATAAACAGTTCTCTAATGGTTGGTCCTGGATAGGAGAGCCATTTGAAAAGCTGATATATTACAATGTAAGTAATTTTTTTTCTTCATGTTTGTTTGTTTATAATGAAATAAAACTTTACAATAAATAAAAATGCAAATTAATATTTAATATTTTATTATTCTTACAAAACATTTATATATTTAATTTCAAAATTTCATACAATAGTAAAATTGTGGAATTATATAAAATATTGAATTGTTATTTTGTATAAATTATATGGTAGACTCTCAATAAGTTGAAATTCCTTAACTCTAATCTATTTTATCCTGATTCTCATAGACTCAATACATTGTTTTTGAAGTAGTTTTTGATCACATTTCATTAACTCAAAATTTAATACATACAAAATTTGACATGCAATAGTTTATGATGTGTTTTTGCATTTTCAAGGGGCTTGACAATATTATAAAACAGTTGAAGATTGGTACCGTAAATCAATCACCTGTGAGTGATTAAGTGAGACATTTTTCTTTTAAGACCATAATATCATAAAAGCTATTTTTCACTATACAATTTCATCCAGCAAAACAGATTTGTACAGACTGTTGCCCAACAACAACCCATTTATGGATGTAGAAATTCTGGAACAGAATGGGTAGATCTCATTCCTACTTTTCAGCAGATAGGAACACTTATAGATAGATGTCATGAATCAACAGCCAATAGATGTGTGTTTTGTTTAAAATTTATGGCACTTTATGATGAAAATCTTATCCTGTAGAGGAAAAAAAATCAATTTTTATACAGTTGGTCTGTAATTATTCATATATTATTGTGAAAAAGTTTCAGAAGAATTAGAAATTGTTATCTTGTCTGCTTATGGTGAAAACATTTAATGTTATCAAGCATCCATTTTGCTGTTCTGAAATGGACATAACTTTCACATAATCACCCGTAGATGATTAATGTAAAATCTCACTTAAATGTTTCATTTAATTTCCCTGAGCAATTAGGTGATTTATATCTCTAGCTGCATAGTTACAAATACAAAATTTTAACAATGTTTTGTGCTTAAATTAACAATCTTATTTTTAAACACAAATTGGCTAATCAAATCATTGTTATATTTTTAAATTTTGAAAATCTAAAAAAAACATCTGAAAACAGTTATAGACAAACTCATAAATTTAACTGGCAATGTGTCTTCTTTTTTTAAAGTAAACATTGATACTATATAAATTTTACTGTAAAGTTTGAATTACATTATTACTATTAGCCTTTCAGTTTATTGACCTTTTTTTCAAAGTAGATAGAATTGGCAAATGAGAAAACAAGAATTTTTGAAAGCAGATAAGATAACTGTCGAGGATTGTGAAAGAAAGCAAAAAAGAAAAATTCTGAATGATATGCCAAATCCTTCACAATTTAAGTGTTTTCTGAAGAACAAGGAGAATATTTTGGAAAGCTTCAATGAACAATGAATAAATGTGAGTTTTCAGATGCTGAAAAGTGTGTACTGAATTGGTTTATACAGTGTAAAGATGAGAATATTCCTGTTAATAGAAAATTTCATAGAGAAAAACCTGAACAACAGTTTAGATGTACCAGATTCAAAACAAGCATGGGTAGTTGGACAAATTTAAGAAGAGGCATGGAATAGTTTTCAATAAAACTGGTGGATGTTCAGAATTGCAAGAGGAGGATTGTGCAGAGTAGTTGAAAAGTTTACCAGAAATTGTACAGAACTGTAGCCCAGATGGCATTCTCAATGCAGTGTTATGTTCTTGAGGAGTGAGGACATTTTTAATATATTGTAATTAAAATTTTACAAAAAAAAAAAAAAAAACACTTAAAAAATTTTTTTGACAGGTAATGAAACTTTAAAGATTTTTCCAACTAATAACAATAAAAGTTTTCCATGGTGCCAAGATATAATCTCTACAATATGACACAAATAAGGAAGAATGGATGACATTATCAGTCAGTCAGTCAAACATTCATAAGGTTACTGAAGCAGGAAAATTTTTTTTATCAACAATGCAGTGCACATTTGTTAATTTCTACCCTGCAAGCTATAACAGTTCAATCTTTAGATAACAGAATCATTCAAAACTTTAAATTATGCATAAATTTCATAATAATTTTTGATGTTGCTTTAAATAAGTTTTCTGTATCTAGAAATTTACATTATTTTAAATTATATTTATTACATTAGTCCGTTAATCATTGGATGGTGCTTTACAAGACAGTGTTTTGGTCAACAATTTCTCAATACTTCAAATAAATCTGAATTTCCATCAGAATCCACTTCTATAACGTGATTTTTTAAATCAATTACAACCAGAAAATCTGCCAAATTATGAGGCTATTAAAAGGGTAATATAATAATTTGTCTAGCGGTTGGTGGTTAAAACACAATCTCGAGTTAATTTTTATAATTATAATTTTTGGAAGATTCTGAGCTGATTCTTTTCTTTCATTAATTTCTGAATTAAAGTTAACACAAGATGGTAGTTTAATTAGTCTGGAGGTAAAAGGCTAATTTAATAACTGCCTAATAACCTGATGATTTGGCAGAATCCGTTGACTATATCAAAGACGACTGGGTCAATCTCATTATACCAATGAGTGATGAAAAGGTCAGTCAGAGATAGATTTTGTAAATTGAAATAAAGATAATTGTCTGTGATGAAGATTAAAGAACAAATCTTGTCAATAACAAATATTCTGCTTCTCTGCATGTAGGGAAATTCAAAAAGCTCTCAAGTTTTTAAGGAACTTTCTAGAAACTACATCATTCATAAAACAAGATACTTTCAAGGCAGTTGACTGCATTGTTAAGCAAGAAATAATGAATCATTGAAGGCAAACTCATAAACAGGCTTTTTTCCTCATAAATCCAATATATTTTATTGTTTGTATTTTGATATTTATGATCTTGTTTAAAAACTTTTGAGTTATGGAAACTGCCATTTTTTAACTCATCTTTTCTGTCCCTTTCACTTTGAGTTATTGAGAGTCTGCTATATAATTGTAAATTTTAAACAATGATAAAGATAATGAAAACTCAGAGAAATGCTTTTAGAACATTTATGCACAGCGCAATTGATTAATGGTAAAGGAACAAGTGAGAAAGGCAGAATTGCTAGTTTCCTGTAACAATTTGTCGACCAAGTTCTAATTTTGACTCAATAACATGATGTTAGATTAAGTTGCTCTTTTCAGTCCACATAGAAATCATAATTGACTAATCAAGGATATATCATGCTATCTTGCTTCAATTTCCAAAAAGATTAAAATTTTTAATGTTCATAAAATTTCTACACTTAAAAATGTTCCTGAAGGTTCTGCATGTAAAGTGTAGAAATTTTATGAACATTAAAAATTTTAACATAATAGATGATATACTATAGTTTGATTAGAAGAAATTTTTGTGATAATCTTTAATATATAAATTGATTTAAATCTTTAAATAACAGCTTAGTTGAAAATTTTTAGTAATGAATATATTTTTAATAATATACCTTTGATACTGTTTTAAGTATGTGACTACAGTAAGTTGTTGCCTCATCAGGATAACACCTCTGTGTCTTTTCCAATTGACACAGAAGCCATGATGGTTGTTTATTTAAATTATTAGTTCACATAAGCAGTCGTGTGTAGGCAGTCAGATTTGGAATGGAGGAGGTCTAAGAGACAGCATGGCAGAAGAAAAGCACTCGGAAACAAATTAAACAAAATTTGATAGAGGATATATATTCTGACATTACCAATAGGACTTTGATGATGAGAAAGTCTTTACATGAGAGAGAGAGAGTTTACAATAGACTCATGTTGGTAAATACCTGAGGTTATTGGGTTGACATTCATTGAAAAGAAGTCATTTGGACCCATCCGATCAGAACGTTCCAAATCTGAAGAGTTTTGGTTTGGACAGTTCCCTATTTACTGAGAGGGAAATAGGGGATATCTTCGCTTAGAGTGTGTAGGGAATATATCCGTTGATATATGTGTACTAACTACACTGGTGATATATGTAGCACTAACACAACTAGCCCGTTTGAGAAACTGGCAAAGGTTGCCCGAATCAGCTGTTCATTTGTATATTGAACAGTGAAATACAGGCAGGAAATTAAAAGGTTGCAGGAAAGCGTCATTTCTAATGCTGAGAATTTGTAAGAGGAAACTCTCTCGCATATGAAATTTGACATGCATTAGCTACAGTTCTCTCAATATTTTGAATAATTTTCTCTAATTTAGTCTGGGTTCTCACAAATATGTTATGTATCATAAGGTTTGTTTTAATTGAGAAATGAGAATTTAGCTGGATGATGATACACTCTAATATAGGAGAAGCCAATATTAGACAAAGTCAATGTGTTGCTGTCAAGAATGAATATGCATTGATAATGAAATTTAGTACAGCATGCTGTTGCAAATTTTATTTTTTCCCCATTACATTCTTGTAATCAAATTTTAATACAGTGGGTGATCGGTTAACGAACAGTTCGGATAACGAACACTTTCGTGAAAGATATTTATGATCGGATAACAAACGCTTTAGTAAACAAACATAAAAAGAAGCAATGGAAAATAATGAATACCGATTGATTTTCCCTTGTCTTCAGGTAACAGTTCGAAACTTTTTGGAGCACTGGAGACGTTAACATTGATAATTGACGTAATACCAATCAGATAGTATTCTTCCAAATTTTGAAAGTATCCCTTGTAATTCCAGCTTTTTGTTTACCTTTCTGACAAATAATCTTTTATAGTATTTGCAAGACTGTTGGACAGGCACTTGTTAAGTTTTGCATCTGGGTTTACTTACAAAAGGTGAAAGTTTAACTGTCCCATCGGATATTCATTAACATTTTAATACCAAATTTTGAATTTCATCTGGGCCTTGCATTTAAATAATTTTTTGTGGACTAGTTGATTTCTGTTCTCTGAATTTTTTATTTAAAAAAGAAACTGATAATATTATGGAGCCTAAAAAGAGGAGTGTCAAGAACTGTGCTCACCATAGTAAGAGATAATAGCCAAGGTAGAAAGTGGGCACAAGATGTCTGATGATGTTAGGCAGTATGGCTTGAACAGGTCTACAGTAGGCACAATCTTAGCTATGAAAGATATATCAAGAAGTCTCAAGCTGCCAATGGAGTAATGAAAATCACATCTGAGAAATAAAGATCATTTTACAGCTCACAATGTGAGCTCTAAAATGACAACAAAAGAACTCAAACTCTCAAATGAAGAATACCAAGAAACTCAGTGAGATGTGTTTTCTTTTGAAAAAGATGACGGCAAAAGAGGACCAATGCTGACATCTGCTACTAAAGATCTTTTGAAGGAGTTAGATGATGTCAGAACAACGATCATCCAAGTGACATCCAAACCAGAATAAGGTTAATGGGGGTTGGGAATCTCTACAATTACAATACTATTAATTACTTCCAAAAATTTCTTAAGAAAAGAGAAAAGCAATCGACTTGGACAGATTCTTTAACCCCCACAAACAGAAAAAACACGACTAATAAAAATGCAAGACTGCATATATATGTATTTTTACTATTACATATAAACAAACGTAGTAAAAAAGTATATATTTTTTATTTTTTGGACTCTCAGGAACGAATTAATCAAATTCCTATAAAAACTTATGGTAAATCGATAATCAATTAACAAACAGTTCAGATAATGAACAAAGTCTGGGAACGGATTATGTTCATTAACTGATCACTCACTGTATTTTGCTAATTACTGTACATTTATGTAAAAAGAATTAGTTTTTTGCACAAGTACATTTGTTGTCAGAATCATGGCCATAAAGACAATATTCCTTCAAATTTTACTTTTTTTGGAATTTGATTCTAACAATAATCAGTGGAATGCTATGAGTTGGCTAATCTTGTTATTGCATGTAGATCTTACAGTAAAGTGGTTATGTTCTTTATCCAGAAGAAACTATAGTATATTTCATAAACAATTTAAAACATAGGGTTACAGTTAAATATATTTTATGGTAGCATAAACATTTGTTTTAGAGATGTCAGAATGATACATATCTCAGACTCCAGATTTTTTTGAAAAATAAGGAACAGCATGACAAAGTATTAGACTATTCATTTTGGGTTAATTTTTTCTTCTTTTCTTTTATTGGCTGTTTCCTTCTATGTTTGATATCAAATAGTCTGATATATTACATTTTATTATAGTAAAAAGTTCAGTCTCCTAAACTTCATAAGTTTCAAAATATTTTTGGTACTAATTGCTGATTTGAAATGCATTATTAATACTTTAGGATATAAAGAAATAGGTAGGAAGTTAAACCTGGGTGCAAAAAGTTTATTATGGTAAATTGATGCAGAAAGGGTTTTCATGTTTTCTAAAGACATCCTTATTCCTGATATCAATTGGAGGAGTTTTATCACGACATTATTAGATTATTACATGTAGTTTTGAATTCTTAAGCACTAAGTTTAAAAGTTGACATATCTAATGAACAAGTTATATAATTATGGTAAAATTTATAAAAGGTAGATGAAAATTACAGAGATGTAATGTATTACATTATATTAAGCATAGTTTGTGATTTTTTAGAAAATAAACAATTAGTTTGTCTTCACAGTTCAATTTAAATTATATATATAGTTACTATTTAATGAGAAAATGTTTTTATTTTTAAAAATGAATAAAAGTAACTAAATTATATTGGTTAATGTTTAAATTCTAGCTTAATAATTGGACTTTTCAAGACTAAAAAAATATTGACTTTCAAGAAACTAACTATTTTTGCATTTGGAAGTCTGAGGATGGACGTTTTCAAATTAATCAATGTTAAGAAATTTTTAAAAACCTGA